TGTTCTGGGCTTATTAATTCCACTCGGTGAGAGAATTATTTTTAGAGACTTGGTGTACTGGCAAAGGCTTTTAAAGTCACAAATATTACATATTCTGCTTATAGATTCTCTTTTATTAACTGAAAAAGTAAAAAAAAAAAAAGTTGTTTCGGGTTGTTCTTTAACATGATAATGTATTGGGGGGGGGGGTTTCTATACAGTTTTTCCTTTCTGAATGCTTTTACATACATTACAAAGGTCTGTAGGGTGTTGATTGCATAAACGTGCAAAGTTGCCGCCGATATCTGATTGTATCTGCGGCCACTGGCGTTGTGCTGTGATATTTAATAAGGTGGTAAACCCCAGTGGGCGCAATGTTCTATGATAATGCAGTTCTGCTGTCATAATGAAAGAAATAATAGGGAAATCTCTCATGTTTGTCTATACTGTATAATTGGTTTGTTGTTATCTATACTTATACATATTTTAACAACATTAAAACTTTACAGCTGACATAGATCGTTCTAATGTTGTAAATCTATAAGTTTATTAAGTTTTGAGCAGTTTATTCTGTACCCATGGTTAGTAATGTATAATTTGATATAATGCATTGCATATGAAAGCTTAGTATGTCAGCTGAATGAGACATTTTCCCTTTAAAGTGTAGCTGGAAAAAGAGACAAGTAGCATAAAATTCCTCAAACTAATCATATCCCAGTATTTATTTATTTATTTATATTCTTGTGACTGACCGGTGACACATGACCTATATATGTTGCTCATTTCTACTATGTGGGCTAAATGTTTAGTACTAAATAAAAGTTACATGCCAGATGTGACGGGGGTTTCCTACTCTTTTTGACAAATGTACTGCCTCACACCATTTTCTGGAAGTGTCATTAACTTTCACTGGGAAGCCAGTTCAGATAATGCCATATGCTATTTAGCATATCCATGACATCACTGCACCGTATTTGCATTCTAGCTAGTTCAGCCAGCTGTTTGCGTCTCTCCTACTCTCTGTGCTGACATATACTGTATTTTCATACAGGCAAATTTCCAATAAAGCTCTTCTCATTTACATATTTCTGCTTATGAGACAATGGAACAAGTGTGAAATAATGACAGGAAGGTGACCAATTAAGACTCCCTCGTTAACAGGCAGCCGATTCCAAGATGCACTTCTGCACTGCTGAAATCCTGAGTTTTATAACCTTGACATCCTCTGACAAAAATTACCATACACTTATGTTACAGATAATGCCAATTTGGATATATTTACATGCAAAGTGATCACTTGAAAGGAAGTAAAATGGCTCAGCTGCGGTGCGGACGGCTGAATGTGCTACTGCCACTCAGCGAGCGCAAAGAGTTGTGCCTGCGGCAGAAAAGCAAGAGCTCGTGCTCATGGGGCAGCCCTGCAGCCCAGTAGTAACATAAATGTACTTATGTACTTTTCACAATTCCTGCAGCCCATAGAGACAGGCTTGTAATAAAATGCTTAATGAACCGAACTTGAAATAAACGCAGCCGCTAATATTAGCAGGCATGTGATTGTGTATTTGACATAATTACGTCCAGTTGTGTAAATTCGGCCAAATTGTCGTGATGCTTTGTAGCTTTTGACATTTTTCATTACTACAAGGTGATTTGTCTCTCTAATCACTCAGCAGTTTGGGCGTTACACAGACACCCAGAGCAGTTGAACTCCACCCCACCCACTTCACAAACAGATGTTTCCTAGAAGTCTCGTGTTGTCCGTCAATCAAACGCGATCCTCGGCGGACTCTGTAATTCTGCCTCCAATTCCGTCATCAGCTGTCTCAAAAATATACTCCCAAGATAAAAAGATCCCAGCATTGTATTGCCCCATTACCACTGTGTAAATATTACATGTTTTCCCTGGATATGCTAGTTAGCATTACTTCCACCTTGTGGCTTCATTATTTTTGAAACGCTCGATGATTGCACGGCATGACCTAGTTCTGGGACTCTGTCTCTCCGTCTCTCTCTGTCACTGTCTTTACTTTCTCACTTCTCTACCTAATTTACTCATTCTGTGTGTCTCTCTTTTTTTATGCCCTCTCTACAGCTCCACCTCATTTTCTTTTCACACTGAACCTGTCTACCTCCTTTTTTTTGTCATTTATTCATTGTCTTTCTCCATTTACTGCCTCAGCATTGCCTTCATCCTTTCAGGCTGCCTCTGTTCTGCTTCTGTGTTACTCATCCTCCTTCTCTCCCATGTATGCATTCTTTATTTCTCAATTTGTCTCTCTTCCACAGCCTATTATTATTTTTCTCTGTTCTCACCCCCTCTCCTTCCCCCCTCTCTCGCTCTCTCTACCCCTCCCTTCTTCTCCATGTTTTTATTCCTCTCTACCAGCACCACGTGTGCCACGGAGGGAAACATCGCGAGCAGTGGTCCCTGCTGAACAATTACCATGCAAAGCAATCCAAATAGAGATGTTTGCCGAAAACAACATGTGTGTAATTACTGCTTAATGAGGCCCTTGTCTCAGGCAGAATGCCCAATTAGACTGCCGATGAGAAAGTGATGCCAAGGCCCGGTGAAGAAAGAGAGAAAAGATGGGGCAAAGAGGAGTAGGCAGGGAGACAGAGAAGTGGAAGTAAGGAGGTTGCAATATGGAGAAAAGGGTGTCGAGGATGAGAAACACGGAGGGAAAATGGAGCAAGGGGAACATGAGAAACTGTGAAAAAAGGAAGGATGTGGAAAGAAAGATGGAGAGACTGAAGGGAAAGGGGAAAGATGAAGAGAAAGGGGAATGAGAGAATTTCTGCGGTGTATATGTGGAGTAATGGCAGAGTTGATAGCATTGAGCCGAGGATAAATTGGCATATTAAGTGGGAGAGTGAGGAACTGCTAAGGAGAGCTATCAAAAGGAGCAAGAGGAAAGAGCTTTACATTGCAGTCTGTGGGCAGCCATGTTGAAGCACAAAATGGTTGACCTTTCTGGGCAGTTTGAGCCTTTTTTTGGTGAATATTGCATTATAGATGTAATTGGTGGAAATAAACATTATCTCACTTCATTTGTTCCTTCAGAGCACTGCAGAAACAAACGCCGTCGAGGATTCGCTCTCGAAGAATTCACGTGGCAGAGTTAGCTGTAATGAGAGCCGTGGCGGCGTTGGCGGGGTTGAAAATGCCATTGTTCGCAGTCGCTTTTTATCCGAGAGAATCTTATTCTGAAGAAGCACTCGGAATGGCTTTATGTCACCAGTGATATCAAAGTGGATTTCAATGGAATGAAATTGCTCAGTTAGGCGATGACAAGAGGCTTTCATGTGCGGAGTGAAGAGTTTATTGCAGCTATGTCACCAAGGTCAACATTAGTTTGGCCCTCTCAGCGAGCGGCAGTCACTTCCCGCCGCAGTTCGGTCAGATGATAGACACCGGCATGCTTGATTAAGCAAATTAGCAGCTTTAGCATGTGGCATTGAACAATTATCAGTTTAATGTGAAGATGAGATGTCAGGGTTTTTATTTTCCAGCTGCTGGTGCAGTGATGTTGGATTAATCATGTCAGGTGTGAACGAGGCTTAAATGCACCTCTTGTGTCAGTTTCATGTTTTCGTATGAATTTAATCATTAGAATAACCAAGTGAATCCTCGCCTGGGTTTCAGTATGCATCGTTAGCCAAGCATTGCCCCGAGGCAGGAACTCATTCCCCCGTCCTTTCTCCTACAATAATGTACAGTAATTTCTCTTTCTCACCACTCACACGCTCATTTGCTTCGACTTTTTCCTGTCTACAAGCGCAGATATTAGATTTCCCCCTCAGGAATTCTGCCCATTTCCGTCCATTAGTCTACTTATTTGGTCACTGTTTTTGAGCAGGTATATGTTATGATCCATTTGCGTCCACTCATATCCAGTGCGTGTCTATTTTTCAAGGCTTTGGCCGCTTTCGTTGCCGACACAAAGCAGACCACCCGAAATGAAAAGGGCCTCCCGTATCTTCACATCTGAGGAATTTGACATGGAGCGCTGTGTAGTTTGATCGTGTTTTTTCTCCTGTCTGTTCCCGAGTCGACTGCGCAGTCATATTGCAAAGAACGGCCTCCATCAACAAACAAAAAAAAGGGAGCTTTATTTGACACATTGAGTTTCTACGTGTACGTGTGTTCACGTGCAACACTACCCGCTCCAGTCAAGGTTTTTTCTATTTGCCGCAAGTGCGCGGTGACAAACCTTGATGCCTTTGGAAGCCAAGAGCATTTCACAACGATGCTCTCCTTAACGTGGTCACAGCTTTTCAGTCACCTTGGCAGCACACAGGTTCCGTTACCGAGCCGTTTGTGGCGGCTGAATCTTATTTCCGCTTGAGCTAAAAACAGAATCCGTCTGTGGTTTTTTTCTTTATTCGTAGCGCACTCATAGTTGATCTCGATGGGGAATTTAGCTCAGTAACATGCTAGACATGAAGGCTAGCATGTTGCATTAAACTCTGAAATGGTGACCCAGTGCTGCTTCCCAGCATCCCCGTGGGTCAAAAGTAATTTGTTGTTATGTGAGTCCTAACCCCATGACAAGCAATGTTTTGGCACCTGCAGCAAGCGATCCTTCATTGCCTGATTAGCTCAAATCTAAAGACGCAGCATGCCCTCATTGTGCTACACACACACACCAACACACATGTGCAAGCCTCTAAGCCACGCACACTTTACTACAGTAAGCACTCACAGATTCACCCGCACTCATTCTCTTTCTCGCACACACACAGCACAGCCCAGAGGGAAAAGCCCATCTCTCATCACTTTGCTCATGTAGCCTAATTACCGGCCCGCTGACGAAACAGTAATTACCCATGCTGCCATGCCACCACGAGGTTTAACCAAAGTGACAAAGTCATTAGTCTCACACTTCAGGCCACCCGTAAAGAGCTTTTCCTCTTTAGTACCTCTTTCACAGACCCACCACCCTTTTTTTTAAAAAAACCCCCAAAAACCTCTTCTTGCATACAATGTTTATTTCTTTTTTTCTTTTTTCTGTTCACAGTTTGATGGTGACAACATGTACATGAATGACAATAACCAAGAGTTTCGGTCACCAAACCAGGTAAGATCGCCCACGTCTTTTCCTGTAAGCCCTGCAGACTTAAATAAATAAATGTCTGAGTAAGCTGATGTCACCCTTTAACAAGAAGAGTTTATGGATTGTTATGTTTGGGTGTAGACTGGAAAATGTGAAATGTACACATTTCTCAGTGAAGAAAAGTGGAAAATGGACAAACAAACCATGTGGTTAGCATGAGAGGAAAACACAAGTCAAAAGTGATGTGTCGCCTTTTTACCGCCACTGTTGTGGGCACATTTCCAAGTTATGCTTTTGTCTCTGTGGAAATTCTGAACATTAATAAAAAATGACTATGTCCACCAGTTTCTTTCTCATAGGCCTGCATCAGAAAAGTTTCCATCATTTGATGTGACAGTCAGTGTGTTTCACAAGGTTTCCGATCAGATTTAAATATTAAATATATGATTGGAAGGTTTGATTCTTAATAACTTAAAAGTTAAATTTTTTTATATCTATTTAACGTCTGATGGATTAATCCATAAGCCCTCACAGTTTCGGCAACATGTCAGCCCACTGAACCAGACAAAGCAGCAGTAATAGTTTACAATAACAAGCTAGTTGGATCTCTGGTCCCACTCTGGAGCATCATGGTCCCAGTCGCACATAGACTCAGTGAATAAGACAGGATCGGTGCTGAGTGCTCCCAGCTGGTAGATGGGAACACATGGCTGGACATATGGCAGAATTCAGAGCTCCAGGATTTGTTGATCCAGCAGCAAGGTCTTCATGTCCTGACAAAACACGATGAGGTGGAAGCTCCACATCAATTAGCGCTTTTCCAAATAAGTCAGGCCAAGGACAGCAGGATCCATACACACCTTCAATCACACACAGACATAGACACGCACACACTGTTTCATATAAACATACTCGTTTACTGTAAAAGGAAGTGACACGTTTTCTGACACAAAGTAATTCACAAGTTATAAGCTCACGTGCAAGAAGCTGTGTAGTTTCAGTCGTGTGAAAATCGTGCACTTTCTAATATGGGCATAGCGCCGGTAACTGTGAAAGCACACTGAAATAATTCATTGCCCCCATAAGGATCAGCATAACCATCATGACTATTAAACCACTATCCCAAGATTAAGGGTCAGTTCACCCACTTTGCAAAACATATCTTTTTGCCTATTCCTTTATGATGCAGAGAGGCATTTTCCCGGATTTTTAAAAAGAGGAAGGCGCAATGAGGTCTAACAATTCGGACAGCATCCCACCACAATCTAGCTGCTGCTGGTAAAGATACACATGATACACTGATTGGCTTGCTTGAGGTGGAGGACTAGGTGCACAAAAGAGTCCACATGGGATAATAAAAGATGAGCAGTGAGATTTATAGTACGCAGAGTGGAGACAGATTGATTTGAAGTAGGCGGGCGAAAAGATGATTGGACTAGAGCAGTGATGTCAGCATTGAGTTTTACAACACGGGAAAGGGGAAGCGATGTGAAGAATAGACTAGCAGCCAAACACCTGGGAAATGGACAGATGTTCAAGATACATCTAAAACTTTTTCCTGGGTATTCCAGATAATCTAAGATTGATGCTTTAATCTGTTTTTCAAAGTTTGCTTTTAATTTTTTTTTAATCTTGTTTCGTAAATTGTGTAACTGACCCTTTAAAAGTTAATGTATTTATAACACCAACCCCTCCCAAAACATGCCTCTACTCTGACAGCCCTTTGAAGAAGTAAAGATCCGGCAAAATGCCCTCACTTTCTAAAAATGTGCTTAGTCTCACGATGTAACATTTAAATTGGGCCTTTTGATGAACAAGAACATATGTACGTGCTCTTAAACACACCCACATATATACCCATAAACCCGTACACACATGTTCTCATAAAAAACCCTCACACATGCATTCACACGCCATCATCCTATAGCCGTAAGATTGCCTTTCCTTTGATGTTGGGATTGAGTAACTATAGTGAGAGGTCGAGCAGGAGCTTTAGCAGCTTATTGTCTACTTACGGCGCACATCGGAGACCTCGACGTCCATCGTTGTTAGCTGCATTTCCAAATCTGCCCTAATTATGTCACTTATATGCATTTGCTTGTGCTAATTGGGATAAATGTCCAGCTTTGTAGTTTCCTAGCTGCACCGGTCATATGTCAATCACCAACACCCACTCCAGGTCTGCAGTGTTGTGTCAACAAATACCTTCTTAGTGGATAAGGCAATTTGGGCTTTTCAAAACATGTCAGTTGCAGCTCTGTCGGTGCTGTCAAATAGACTCTTACACACCAGTTCTGAATAGCACTCTGAACACAGAGTTCACTGTTTGGTGCCTGATCCTTTAATAGAGAACATTAAACGTGAGATTTCAAAGAGGATGTGCACCTTTTGCTCAGGAGCTAATGGTTGCAAAGGGTTTTTAGCACATTTAATATACTATATTATGCTAAAAAAAACAATAAAGCTGTGACCATTGTGTGAATTTTCTCTCTCCCTTGCACTCTCTCAACCATCCACTACTTAAATCCCGTATTAGTGTTAAATATTTGCTGCTTTTGTCACCTAATAGATAATATCTTTAGGTCTTGGATTGATGATCAAGTAATACAAGCACTAAAAACATGATACATTGAGCTTTTTTGGGCTATTTTCTTACTAATAACAAAAATAATCATAAAAACGGACCCCTGCTGAGAACTACCTGACTGGCATTTTTCAATAGGGAAGCTTTCTTTGGTCTGACTACATAAAAGCTTCCCTTAACAATTTTGCGAGGGCTGTCCAAATCATTATATTTTAGCTGAGTTGTGTAGTATTTTATTCGTATACTGAGATTTCAGAAGAGGTTAACCCATGTATTTCTTCAAAGCCATAACATTCAGGGAATGTGTCTGCATTTTCTTTTTGCAAAATTTGTTCTGACCGCTCGCTGTGTATACAAGTCAATCATTTCCCAATTGACGCTTATGCATTAGCTGTGCGGCGGTTTGTTACATGTGGTTTTCTTTTGAAGTGAAATCAGGCAAATTAGAGGTTCAAGTATATATATGATAAATTTATATGATTTTCTGCGTCGGGTTGTAGCGGTGATTACTGTGTAATAAAGAAATCCAGATTAAATATATTCAGTATATTCGTAAACAATAATCACCAATCATAAGGAGTATATAACTTTTTAAAATGCTTTCCCTACTTTCTAAGATTAAACCAATCCCCAGCTGTGCGTGTAAAAAAATATGGGCTTCCTGTTACTTCTTTTCTATTTATTCTGTGTGAATAGCACAGTAGAGACTGATATTCTTTGGTCTTGTCGACAATGCTCAGAAATACTCTACCCTCACAATTGGTAAAGCTTTTTTGTGAAAGAAGCCCATAAGCTTTAATGCAGGTTTTAACACTGCAGTAAGATACCCAGCCAAGCCTTTACATGATGTGCGCCTGTGAAAAAGGTGCATGTAGCCAGAACAGAGACTCCTTTGTTTGCATGTCTGGGGTCTTCCACGGCGTACACACTGAGGTAACAGTCCAACACAGCCAGAAGATTGCATTACACATAACATCTCTGTGCTTTTTAAAAGTGAAAACCACAAATCAGAAACAGTTTTGATGGGGCAGCTCAATGTACACCTGGACACAGTCCACTCAAGCAAGATGTTTTCAAGGCTTTAAATACTGTATGGTCTCTGTACAAACTATGCATGCATACTGCACACATGGGCAGTTTGATGGCATTAATATTTTCCATGTGGTTTTTCCTGTTGCGATTTCAGCTTATAAGCAAAAGTGTGGGTGGGTTATTATGTTTACTGGCTTTGCTTGTATCTGCCCACACACACACAAAGCTAAGTCGATAGTTTGTAGAAATAAAGATTATGAAATATCTCAATTATCCCAATTAACTAAAACATGTTTGTGTAAGCAATAAAGAGTTTTAAATCACTTTCCTGACTCCAGACCTCCAGCGTGCCATATGTCACATTTCTTCTTTTTTTTCTTCTTTCAGTTAAACACACGGGCGTCTAGTGTGCGCTTATTGACTGCTAACTCCCCAGCTATAAAAACAATGAGCCAATCAGCCAATTTTCTGACTGGGGTAAAAAAAAGTGAATATTGTTTACAGAAATTCCTAAATCAGCACTTTTTTTTTCCTTCCCAGAAATGTGAAAGTGTTGTTTTGAACAATAATTACTGCAACTTCTGTGTTAACTGAAAGTGACAAAAATATGACAATCTCTGCTGGAGGCAAAATAAACCCCAACTCAGAAAGAAAAACTGTTGAATTTCAGTCTTAATAATATAATGAAAATGGCAGCGTGCTAATATCAGCCTTGTATATGTAAAATAATGCTGGTTGCACTGTATATTTTTGCAGCACTGTAACAGCGGCATGGGAACGATCACAGCCAAACCAAAATGGCTTCCTTCACCCACGCCAACACAAATTCTAATTTTGTATAAAGAGAAGTGCTCGTGATTTGGATTCATATCAGCCCGATCAGTCTGCAGCATTTCACTGACTTTTACGTTCGTATATATTTCTCTAGATTTTTTGCACACCTCCCTTCGCCCTAAAGTGTAATAAGGGTCTGTGTGAAGAAGTCCATGTGTGTATATGTGCGTGCTGAGGATGAAGCCAAAAAACTGAAGATAGGAAGGAAAATTTATTTAGAGAAATATTAGAGAAGGAAAAAATGAGCCAGTGGCATGGGGTTGGGGGGGGGGCATACTTGTTGCATTGTATCCCATTGCAGAAGACAAAGCTTTGGGGCCACTAGTCCTTGGAGAAGCAGCAAGTTTCAGCCTTTTTATGCCATTGCATTTTTGGCTTCAAGGTGTCTCGCTGAGCTGCGCGTCTCTATTGATTTGGCTGACTTTAGGAGAACAGTGGCTGATGGTCGAGATCAGAATAGAAATCTAACTTGTTGGATGCAGACTTGCTCTTTTTTCTCTTCATTCTTCTTTTTCAGGCTATAGTTCAGTCTGTTTATTTTTGTATATTTCTTCTTAAGTCTGCCACTCCACTC